CACAAAAAGATTGAACACAAATGTTCACGGCAGCATTATTTGTAAAAATCAAAATAGGAACAACCCAAATGTTCAACACCAGATGAATCCATAAACAAAATATGGTATATTCACAACAGAATATAATTCAGCCATTAAAAAAATTGTACTGATGCATGCTACAACATGAATGAACCTGGAAAACTTTCTAGGTGAAAGAAGCTAGATACCAAAGGTCACGTACTGTAGGATTTTTTTTTTTAATACAAAACATCTAGAATAAGCGAATATGTAAAGACAGATTGTAGACTAATGGTTGCATAGAAAAAGGCAAAAATCAACCCTTTAAGAGCAGTGTAAAATATTTTCCGCTTTCCTGCAGGGAATGAAGTCAAAGTTGCCTGCCAGCCAAAGAAGACCTGGAACAGGAGGGCAAAGATAGCCTGCAAAATGAGGAAAGAAATGAAGAAAACAGGGTCTGGCTAAGGACATTGTACTCACAACTTCTCCAGCATCTTGAGTTTACTCTGCACTTGAGAGGCCCTATTGGCATTGTAGCGAAACCGGTCAATGAAAACCTGCAGGGGGAGGGCAAGGATTGGTCAAACTCCCTTGCTACCCACAACTGATACCATGGGATGGGACTCAAAGCCCTGTGTGCCCCACACCTGGATGTGCTGGCGATACTGCTGCTGTGCCTCATATTCACGCTGCTGATTAAGCAGCCGTTCCTGCTTGCTCTTGATGAAGGTCTCAAAGTCTCCCCGATAACCATCTAGCCGCTGACTGTGCAGGTGGATGATGTCTGTGGCAATGGCATTCAGGAAGTTTCGGTCGTGAGAGACGACTAGGATTGTGGAGGGCCATGTCTGAGGAGTCACAGGACAGCAGGCCCAGTTTGGGAGGGTAAACAGATCCCAGGCTCCCAAGTGTCTTAGAGGCAGACTTTCCCCGAACCCACTCCAGAGCCTTTCCCCAAATTCACCTGTAGATAATTCTCCAGCCACAGAATGGCTCTTACATCCAGCATGTTTGTGGGTTCTGTAGAAGAAGTAGGGGGCACACACTTGTGATTAAAGGGCTGTAGAACTAGGAAAAAAAATGTTATTACCTGTCCCCACCTTGAAGTCAGGGTGACCCATTTTAAACTCACCATCTAATAGCAGAAGATCTGGCCTATGAAAAAGAATACATGGCATGAGGTTTTATATCAGTGACTCATTGTCATGTTTTAAGACCCATCCTCCCTAGGCTCAACATGGTTTCAGAAGACTCACCTAGCAAACAGGGCCCGGGCCAGGGCCAGTCTCATCCTCCAGCCACCTGAGAACTCCCTAAACAGAGACACATTAGTGGTATTAATCAGAGTCAACAATGTTGAGAACCAAGAATGGCAAGCATCACTCACCGGGTGGGCTGCTGCTGCATTTTAGGAGTAAAGCCAAGTCCAGCAAGAATGACTGATGCCCTAGGAATGAAGAAATTTAAAAAACCCAGTTGGAACACTTCACAGGAGGGAAAGGTAAAATATAATGAGGAGGAGGAATTTCAACTACCTGGCAGGTGCTTTGTCAGCCTCAATCTCTTCCAATTTGGCATAGATTTCAGCCAGCTGTGCAGCTTCTGGACCCTCTGCCCTGGAAAAGAGAAAGAGCAACCAGCCTAAGTTGAGGCAGTCTAGGAAGATGCCCTGTATCCTATATAGTTTGAAAACAGGCTACTTGTTGCTTTGTTGCCAGAATAGGAGTAGAACACAGGAAGACTTGCCCAAAATATTGAGTCAATGGGTGCTGAAAGAATGAGGGCTTCAGAGTCCCACAATGCCATGTTCTAAGCTCTGCTAAGCAGAAGGATGAACATGCAAATCAAGGACTGGGACAGCATGGCAGGCACTCTGAAAAACAGCTTCTGCTAGGTCTTCCCTAAGTCTCACCTGCCAGCAGCAATCTGGGCACTGAGCTTACGCTCCCGCTGTAGCAGGTCCTCTCGCACACTATCACTCTCCAGCACACTCTGCAGGGCAGGGGTGTCATCTCCAGCAACCTCCTGCTCTACATGTAGCAGGGAAATGTGGGCTGGGACCCGCAGGCTCCGGGTGGCCAGCATCTTCAGCAGTGTTGTCTTCCCTAACCCATTCCGTCCCACCAGTCCATATCGGCGGCCCCATGCCAGGTTCACATCTGCCCCAGCCAGGAGTACCCTACAAGAGTGGTAGAAAGGAGATTAAGGGTGTTTTAAAAACAGGCACATAGCAAATAGAGCAGAATCCTACATTGTTTTAAGGCCCATTTCATCTCTCCAAATTCTCCCTACATTGGAAAAAGAAAAAGAATGCCACCCCATATTGCCATTCTCTCACCTATCTCCAAAAGACACATCAAAGTTCTCAATTCGCACATCATAGGACTTGTTCTTGCCAGATGATTCCAATCGACTCTCCTTTCTGCTGCCCGCCTGGCTGGCTGATGCCTCTTCTAAGACTCTTTAAAATAGATAAGTGTATAGCTTTCAGTGCTCCCAACCACCCATCGTCACAATAGACTGCTCTGCTCTCCTTCTGAGCCCTTCTTCCTAAACTCACAGTGGGTTGCTGGTCTTCAGGGTGTCCTTCTCTGAGCGCTTCTCCTGCTTTGCCTTCAGTCGGGCCTCGGCCTTTTCTAGCTTCTTCGCATTCACTGTCTAAGTAAATTCCAAACACAACCATTTCACCCTAAGGTGTAGGCTCAGAAAGAGATGTTCTCTCAGAAGAGACAACATCTCAAGTAAACCCTCACAAGTTACTCATATTGAATAGACTCAAAAGTTCACAGAAAGACACAATTAGAAATTCCCCCCCAAATCATGTAGGTATGATATACATGACAGTTTAATATTTTGATATAACTAAAAAAGAATTTTGAAAAATCCCCCCAAAGACACTGACATTTGGATAGCCAACTCCTATACCCACCACAGACACAGCTCCCTCCCTATCACTTTCTCCTCACCGAGGACTGTTCCCTCTTTAGCAGTCCTGGAAGTTTGGTGTCACAGTCTGTAAGTGAGAAGAAAAAGCAGTCACCTTCTCCCTGAGGGAAGGAAAACTAACATTTTGAGTGATCAACAAGAACCTGGTATGGACACACATTTTTAAGAAAGTATTACAACCCTGGAGATGAACAGCTATGATTTTCTCCAAACTAAAACCTCCCACAAATCTCACATATAAGGATATAGGCACTGGGGCACATAAACAACTCTTTTACTACTGATCAATAAGCTGCAAAACTGGGGAAATGACATCAAATTTGTCCAGCTCCAAGACCCATATACTTCCTACCATACCTAACAGCTGGGAGAACCCTCCAGTCTTATTTCCATCATCACAGGCTCTTTTGCTCTCATAAACTAGTCAACTAGCTCCTACAACTCTTGCCCTGAGAAAAAGAGACGGAAGGAGTCCTCCAAGCTGTAGGGCACAGGTGGCTGGGGGTGGAAGCTGCATAAAAGACAGAGGGCGGCTAGTTCAATCTCCCCTCACTCTCACCGTAGTTCTCCGTTATCTTTGACAACTGGATAGGGGCGTCCAGTAGCACCTGGCTACTTCCCTGGCTCTGTGGCTCATCCCTGCAGGGATAGGGATAGAAAGCGCAGTTAGGAGTTGAGGGAAAAGCTCTACGGCCATGAGACCTCCCCGCAATTCTTGTCTCCGAACCGTTAGCCTCCCTTCGCCCCCATCGACCCCTATTCCTTGGCACATACAGGCGCAGAGTGTTGTACATGCGTTGGCACACAGCTCTGATGCCCGCGTCATCCTTGCTGTCCCCGGAAACCTCTTGCAATAGTTCTCCCACAGCTTCTACCAAGTCATCCACAGACTCGAAGTCCGCGCTGCCGCTGTGCAAAACGCCTGGGCGAAGAGTGGCAGGATCAGGTAGACAGCGGTCGGGTGGACATACAGTATCAGGGCTTGAATCGCGACCCCAGTCCGCGCTCCAGACCCAACCGCCCCCCGGGACAAGAGGTCACTCAAGAGGAGAGGCCTGGTAGCGGTCTCCAACACTGCCATCCCTTACTCTTCCCCCGCGACCTCCAATTCGGCCTCATCAGCCAGATGATTCGGTTTGGCTCACCAGTCACGTAGTCGAAGACCTGTCCGTCAATTTCTGGGAACTCGCTCCGCAGGATTTCGGCACAAGTCGCCATGTTCCAGTCGGAATCCCGACCGCGCAGTCGCCGAGAGACCTGTGTCTAGGCCCGCCCCCTACCCTTCCCCCAAATCTCGCTCCTCCTCCCACAGCGCATGCGTAGCAGTGACGTAAGAAACGAGCCGAGGGCGCGGAATCTGTCGGGCGGCAGAACAGGGCTGGCAGGACCGCGCGCAAGCGCCGCTCCCAGTTTAGACAAGCTTCTTTCTGCGCCTGCGCAAAACCTACTGTTGCAAGATTAGCCATGTGTACAGTTCTCACAGCCTTTTGGGAGGTGGCGATCCAGAACCGAGGGGTGGGGCAAGTGCCCTCAAGGTTTATCAGGGCGCAAAGCATGAGTGGTCTTGCGGATGGGAGTCTTTCAATAGGAAGACGATCGATAAAAACCTAGCAGAAATCGATGTTTTAAGCGTTCTTCGAATGGCTTATACAGTTGTATGTCCAGGCAGGTCCACATTGGAACCCTCTGAGAGCTTTGCTGACTCATGCCCGCCCTGCCCTCTCAAGAAGCCCCAGGCTCAGTCTTCTGCGTCCGCTGGTTTTGTTCCAGTCTGGCTGTTCAGGTCAGCCAGGTGCCTTCCTTCCCCCCCCC